CCTGCTTCCCCCCCCCCCCATTCCTCTTTGCAGTCTTATTTTGGGTTTATTTTTACTATATCTCTTGTGTACATTTTTATTGGTTGTTCTAGAGATCACAAAATATGGACATAGCTTTTCAGTTATTTATAATCAATAGTTTTCAACTTTATTTGGAGTATAGAGACCTTACCAAGAGGTTCTTTCTCCTCTTCCCTTTAGGCTATAGTGGTCATAAATGACACATACATATACTGAAAACATTATCAGAAAATATTATATTTTTTGCTTAAAATCATCTAGCATGTTTAAAGAACCATGTGTACTTTAATTATTCATGATATTTCAGGTTTTCTGCATCATTTCTCTTCTGTTTGAAGAACATTCTGTATCAGTTCGTTTACACCAATACTCTTCGCTCAAGAGTCTCTCAGTTTTCCTTTGCCTGAGAGGATCTTTAATTCACAATAGTTTCTCAAGGATATTTTTACTTGACATAGAAATCCGGTCAATGGTTCTTTTCTTTCAGCATTTAAAAATGTTGTTCTTGCCCTGGCTGGATACCTCAGCTGGTTGGGGCATCATCCGAATGCACCAAGTCTGTGAGTTCAACCCCAAGTCAGGGGACGTACAGGAAGTAACCAGTGAGTGCATGAATGGGTGGATCAACAAGTTGATCTCTCTCTCTCTCTCTCTCTCAGTCAACGAATCAGTGGATCAGTTTTGTTTTTTTTTTTAATGTTGTTCTACTGCTTTCTGGGCACCATGTTTATAAAAAATTCAAAATCATCTGAATTATTCCCCTATAGTTAATTTATCTTTTTTTCTGAGTGCTGTCAAGAGCTTTTCTTTGTCTTAACATTTCAGCAATTTTGTTATGATTTGTCTGGTGTGGATTTCTTTGAGTTTATCTGGATAGAATTCAATCAGCTTCTTCAATCTGTAGGTTTGTGTCTTTCGCCAAACTTGACAAGTTTGCTGTCATTATTTCTTCAATTATTCTTTTAGCCACATACTCATTCTTCAATGACATGAATGTTAGACATTTTGTTGTTGTCCCAAAAATCCCTTTGGGCTTTGTTCATTTTTCGTAATCATTTTTCTTTCTATTATTCAGATTGTATACTTTCTATTTATCTGCCTTCAAATTCACCCTTTCCTCTGTCATTTCTGTTCTATTATTAAGTCAAATGAGTTTTTATTTTGGTTATTAAATTTTTAGTTCTGAAACTTCATTTAGTTTCTTCATATTTTTTATGTTAATGATACTATGTTAATTCCAACATCCATGCCATCCTATCATTGATGTCTATTGATTGTCTTTTCCTACATGACATGAGATTTTTGTCACTCTTTGTATCCAGTTGACTTTTGTATTTATCTTGATGTTTTCAACAATACCTCATGATGTTCTGCATCTTGTTTATATCTTGTCTGTGGTCTGTGGTTCCTGTGTCAGTTTAAAGTCTTTACAGTGCTATTTCAGTCTCAACCTGTGTTACTCATTACATCTGGATAGAGGTTTACTCATTAGCATAATTTTTTTAATTTGGTATTCTAATTAGGATTTTATCCATATGTGCAAATGACAGGGTAAACACATGAGTTCACAAACAACTTTGCATGTCACTTTCCTGCTCCTCCCTCCTGTTACTTCTCCAGAATGTTCCAGTTCTCCAGAATTTCTTAGTCCCCCAGCCAGAAATCACCCACTTTTATGAGTGTGTCACATCTAAGTGGCAAGAAGATGAAGAATGGTAAAAGGCGGATTGGTTTGGCCCTGTCTCTTAGAGCCATGGCTTGACTAAACTGAGAAGGTTCACCTCCCTCAGCACTTGAGCTCAGAGAGGATTCCCATTCTTTTCTACTCTTGCTAGGATCCCTCCCACAAGACTTCCCATGGTCTGGGCCACAAAAGAGCAGAGGAAAAAAATGAGATTGCGCTTTCCATACTCCAGGAGCTTTAGGCGTTTTCCCTTCTCCACTCCTCAAACCAGACGAGAGGGTTTCTCCTTAATCTCATTCTGTTTGTACTATGCTGCATTTCCAGGCTTTGGATCGCTTTGAGCTCAGGCTAGGGAATGCACGGGAAAATGGTAAACCCAACACTGTTCAGTGTGGTATTTCAAGTTCTGGTTCTGCTGTTCTCCCTGATCCAACTGCTGATGTTTACTTTTCATAGTTCTCAGGTTTAATAATTGAGTTCAGTGGGGGGAAAAGGGGATGTGTGTTTACTCTGTCATACCTGAAAGCTAGAGAGATGTTTATTTTCTCCCTTCGTTCATGAGTTTTAGTGTCTTTATAAATTATGAATATTCATTTTTGAGGAACTCTCCTTTAGACATAAAGGGAGGCAATGGGGAAAAGACCATGTAGCTGATGTAAGAATAGAGCTGGTGTAAAATGTTTTAAGGATGTAGTTGCAAAAAACTTCATTTATATATGGGGGGGGAGTAGGTTTACAGTTGTAATACAAATAATACAATAATTAATAAATAATAATACAAGAATAAACTGTGTGTTTCACGTACTCCCAACTGTAAACCTCCTTTTGCCAACTCTTGTAGATATTTAGTTATGATCTAAGAACTTTCTGAGNGTGTTTCATGTACTCCCAACTGTAAACCTCCTTTTGCCAACTCTTGTAGATATTTAGTTATGATCTAAGAACTTTCTGAGGATAAAGTTTGGATGCATCATGTAAATTCTGGCTTCTCTTTCTAGTTAAAAAGAAGATATCAAACGATGCACCCTATGGAAGTTGACCATATGCTGTCTACTTTTAACTTGCTAGAAAAGCGTGATGCAATTTCAGAGTCACTGACTGCAGGAATGAAGCGCAAGCTCTCCATCATGATAGCACTTATGGGAGATGCTGAGGTATTAGAGAAGAAATAGAGAACAAGGAGCAGGGAAAGGGGAGGGGCATGCACACATACATGCACTAAATATGGGTTCCTGCCCTCTGGTCCAGTAAACTCCACTGACAGAAGCCTGAGAGTTGACATGAATCTTAAGGGAACGTTGCCAATGATACTCAGAGGGAATTTGCATTATTGGGTCAGCTGTTATAATATGGTTTGGGATTTTTTAAATAGTTTTTACTGCTATTGTTAGTCTAGATTTTGTAACTTAGTTTAAATGTGTTCTCCTCAAGTAGTAAATTATCCTACAAGTACTTTGGCATCAATTGTCAATGGTCATGGAATTGTTCTTCTTGTCTCTAGGTGGTGATGCTTGATGAGCCCACAGCTGGCATGGACCCCCTTTCAAAAAGAGCCACCTGGGATCTCCTTCAGCAGTATAAACAGGATCGTATCATCTTACTGACCAGCCACTGTATGGATGATGCTGACATCCTGGGTGACCGCATAGGCATCATGGTCAAGGGATCTCTGCAGTGCTGTGGCTCTTCAGCCTTCCTGAAACAAATCTATGGTCTATCTCCCTTTGATCATTCTTAGGATATTAATGCCTTAATAATATTCTTCTAACATGATTTTAATTATATTTTGTCTATTGCCCAAAACTTCTTCAGTGACTTCTTCTGCTCTATTAATTAGGTCTCAATTTTCCTAATTGGTTTTAAGGCCCTTTGCAATCTAGATAGTCCCTAGACAGGTTGAGGCAAAAGTAGGTTTACAGTTGTGAGTACACGAAACAGAGTTTATTCTTGTATGAATATTTATTAATTATTGTATTATTTTCCTACAAACAACTACAAAAGCCTACTTTTGCACACCCTGTATATACTTATTAATTGTGCTCACGACATACTTTCAGACTTCAGGAACTACTTTTTTAACCTACAAAAAGTGTGCTTATTTCGCTCATTTTGAACCTACTCACAGTTTTCTTTGTTCCTAGAATGTAATTGTGCCTCCAGACAAATTCATTTTATTGAGTAATTGGTTGATGAGAAGAGGAAGTAGAGAAATCAGTGACCTCTGATCCTAGTTTCTTGTTTGCCAAATCAGTCTCTAATCCACAAACACAGCAATTGACAGTAAAAATGTAGTGCAGAATGAAAAAAATCATATAAGTGAAATAAAACAACCCTTGACTTTGACAAGTATACAGGTTTTTTTTGTTTGGTTTGGTTTTTTGTTAGTTTTTCCTCACCCGAGGATATTTTTTCCATTGCTTTTCAAAGAGAGTGGAATGGAGAGAGAAAAAGAGAGGAACATCAATGTGAGAGAGACACATCAGTTGGTTGCCTCCTGCACTCACCCTGTACGGGGCCAGGGATCGAGCCTGCAACCGAGCTAGGAGCCCTTGGTTGGAATCAAGCTCAGGACCCTTCAGTCCACAGGCCGACTCTCTAACCACTGAACCAAACTACCTAGAGCAGTATATGGTTTTTGTAGGAGATAAAACTGATAAACCAAGCAGTAAATTATTGAGGGCTAAAATTAATAGTAATTAGAATCCAAAATTGGAGGGTATAAATGTAAATAAAGATAATTAAGAATGAATTGCTTCTGCCCGGCCGGGCATGGCTCAGTGGTTAAGCGTCGACCTAGGATCCAGGCGATCAGGGTTCGATTCCCGGTCAAGGCACATGCCCGGGTTGTGGACTGCAGCCGATCAGTGACTCTCTCATCATTGATGTTTCTATCTCTCTCTCTCCCCCTCCTTTCCTCTCTCTGAAATCAATAAAGATATATTTTAAAAAAAAAAAAAGAGAATGAATTGCTTCATCATTCATTTGCTCAGTATTTGAGGTTATTCAACTCACATTAATTATTTCCTCTATACTAGGTACTGTGGTGTCCATTTTATATATCATATTTAATATTCAAAACAACAGCTCCAATTTATAGAATACAAATCTGGGGCCATATAGCAAAGATATATCTTAGTCATATTTTATACCCATTTAGTTCTTTAAAGTTTATGATCACCTTACAGGTTTGAGTTTTTACAATTAATTTGAAAGGGGTTCTACATCTGAAATTAGATTCATCCCATGAATTAGAGGCCCCTGGGTTATGAGACACATAAATTAAACATCTAAGTGTTTTATTGAATTTATTGGTGTAACATTGGTTAATAAAATTATATGGGTATCAAGTAAACAATTCTATGATATATCATCATATATGGCATTGTGTGTTTGCCACCAAAACTCAAATCTCTTCTCATCACCGTATATTTGATGTGCCTCCATCCTTTATTACCTCCCCACCCCCTTTCCCTCTGGTAACCACCGTGCTATTGTCTGTGTCTGTGAGTTTTTGTTTGTTTGTTTATCTTGTTTGTTCATTTGTTGCTTTCAGTTTTATGTTCCACATATAAGGGAAATCTTGTGGTTCTTGACTTTTTCTGTCTGACTTACTTCACTTAGCATGGTATTCTCAAGATTCATTAGTGCTGTCAAATATGGCAGTATTTCATCTTTTCTTATGGCTGAGTAGTGTTCCATTGTATATATGTACCACATCTTTATCAAATCATCTATCAGAGGACACTGTTTCTATATCTTTGCCACCTTGAATAATGCTGCAATGAACAAAAGGGTGTATATATATATATACACCTTTGCAAATAAATGGTTTCAAATGTTGGTGGTCGGTACCCAGAAGAGGGATCCCTGGATCATATGGTAACTCTATTCTTAATTTTTTGAGAAACCTCCATACTTATTTTCATAGTGGCCTACCAGTCTACATTCCCACCAGCAGTGATTAAGGGTTTCTTTTTTGCACAGCCTCTCCAACACTTGTTATTACTTGTCTTGTTGATAATAACCATTCTAACAGGTGTGAGGTGGTATCTCATTGTGGCTTTGATTTGCATTTCCCTAATAGCTAGTGAACTTGAGCATCTTTTCATAAATCTGTTGGCCATTTGTATGTCGTCTTGGGAGATCTGTCTGTTCAAGTCCTCTGCCCATTTTTTAGTTGGATTGTTTGTTTTTTTGGTGTTGAGCTGTATGAGTTCTTTATATGTATTGGTTATGAACCCCTTGTCAGAATTCTTGTTTGCAAATATCTGCTCCCATATGGTTGTTTTCCTTTTGTTTGGTTGGCAGTTTATTTTGCTGTGCAGAAGCCTTTTCATTTTCTATAGTCCCATCCCTTTACTTTTGCCTTCACGTCCCTTGCCTTTGGGGTCAAATTCATAAAATCCTTTCTAAGACCAAAATCCATAAGTTTAGTACCTATGTTTTCTTCTATGTAATTTCTTGTTTCAGGTTTTATATTTAGGTCTTTGATCCATTTTGAGTTAATTTTTGTATATGCAGACAGACAGAAGTCTAATTTTATTCTTTTCATGGGGCTTTCCAATTTTCCCAGCACCATTTATTGATGAGGCTTTCTTTCTCCATTGAATGTTTTTTGCTTCTTTATTAAAAATCATTTGCCCATATATTTCTGGGTTTATTTCTGGGCTCTCAATTTTAGTACACTGGTCTGTGGGTCTGTTTTTTGCCAGTACCATGATGTATTGATTATCATAGCTTTGCAGTATAATTTGAAGTCAGGAAGTGTGATACCTCTGGCTTCATTCTTTTTTCACAGGATTGCTTTGGCTATTTAGGGTCTTTTGTGGTTCCATACAAATCTGATGATTTCTTGTTCTATTTCTTTTTAAAATGCCATTGGAATTTTCTAAAATTGATGA